AGTTTTCCTAAGAGGACAGAATCAGCACTGGTGAGAAATGAAGCAATCAAAGTTCCCATATTGATCAGTAGTGGGATTGGGCCTGTGAGTGTCCGATATACTTCTAATCTGGGTGAGAGAAGGTGACCCAGTCTCAAGATAGAAACACATATATACGTACATATATACATACATACCCCAGAATGATGAAATTAAGAATACAATTTTTCCTCATTACCAATTTGGATGTGATTTGGGACTTTGACCTGGCAGCAAAAGTGTTAAAAGTAAGTCTCAGATACTAAGTTTATCTTTTCTTTATTCTCAAACTCAGAATATCCATTGGCAAAATCAAACTAACTGGTTAAATGAGAACCACAAGATTCAAATTTAATAAATAAAAAAGTACAGTAAATGGAAAATATAAGGTTATGTCTTAGGAAAAAGTACACTTTCTTTCTTTCCTTCCCCCAACCCTATTCACCAGCATGAAAATGGTCAGATTGAAAAAAAAAACTTAACTACCTTATGAAAACTATACTCCACATTGGTGGATAGTATGATTGTTGCAGATTTAATTATAAGCAAAAAAAACCTAAGGGAAATAAGTGTAATTTAAACAGTAAACATTTATATTTTGCTTCCTCTTTTGTAGTACCATAGTAAGTAAGCTTCCTTTTTCAACCCTTCATTTTAAGCAAATATAAGGTAATGTCAGCCAAGCCAGGTCCCTTTGGATTCTAAGATAATATTTATTACAATTTTTTTAATATTCTGGCAAACTTTTTGATAGAATTAATTTACATCATTAAGTCTAAGGCAAGCTAGAAATATCCACAGTCAATGACAAGCTCATCATGGTGATAAATAGTTCACTGTACAGATGTCCATATACGGCCAGCCTTCCTATAAGGCTGACAGTTCTATGGGGCATTGCGTATGGCTCTTGGCTCAAAGTCACATTCTTTCAGTATGTTTCTCTGGGAGCTTTTGATTTCCGCTTTGAGGGTTGGCACAAACCTCCAATTGCTCTTATAAGAAAATGTCTGCGACTCAGAGTTGAAAATGGGCAAGAATCCTTCTTTAAGTATACAAACACTCCAAGTCTAGCCACTTTCCTGTAGAGCTGCCAGGTTTTCAGTATGTCTGATACCTGATCAAGTGACTTTTTTGGGGGGAGATGGGGGTGAGGAGGGTTGAAAAAAAACATAAGGGAAGGAATGTAGTATATCCACACCTGTACATTTTACAAGACTTAAACCAAACGAATGGTAGCAACTGATGCCCAAGTAGACACACACATACCGTATATAGCTGTGTAAACAGGACTGTGCTGCCAACCTACTGAATTCCTCATTTTACCAGGAAAGAAAAAAATGTGCTCTCTAAAAAGTATTTGCTGTATAAACACTTGCATACAAGTCAAAATTAGTGCATTTTGACCATCTTGAACACAGATTCAAAGCTCTATTTCTTAAAATTATGACCTTCTGTCAATGCGAAGGGGTAAGTCAGAGTTGGACACCGTTGTAAGAGGCCACTATTTCCCCTTACCTCCCAGGATCACACAAACATTTGCTGAGTCACTTATAATACTGCAAGAATTCAAAATCCCATGGCAAGAGTTAAGGACAGAGTGTCAGCCTTTCCTTTTGAATTTCCTGGCTTTGAATGTTCTGCATCACAACATAAACATTATCCACACATACTTTTGGGTCTGTGAATGTCTTGGATTTTTAAAAATAAAACTCTCATCTTCCTATTCCTCCAAAAAATCCTAAGTCATAAAAGAGGGATAGAATCTCAACATAACACATATAATGCCCAACATATTTTTCTGGTTACTCAGAGATTTCATAGGCTGTGTATATTTTAGTATGCATATTTCAGCTCAGCTAAGATTGAATCTATTCATCCATCTTTTGGCTAACTATGGGCTTTTAGAAACTTTGAAGAAAAAAATATTAGGAAACTTCATAATTAAACCACAGCCATTTTCTGTAATAGAAGTAGACAATCTTATCAACTGTGCTGATAGTATACTTGGTGTTTGTGTGAAAAACAAAAGAGAGAACAGAAAAAGGGGGGGGGGGAATAGAGAAAATATCCTTCCAAGGGACTTAATCTAATATGTTTTCATAGCATCTTTGTGAAATAGTAACCTCTGACACAAACACTGACACATCAATTATTAACACCATAGCCTAGTCTAGTTAATTAACCTACCTGGGCCTTGATTTACTCATCTATAAAATGAGGCTATGTGTTAGGTGTCCTCTGAGCTTCCTTCTGGCTCTAGATTGATGCAGTAGGCAAAAGTTGCATGACTTTCCCAAGACTTGCCAATTTTAGGGCCAAAAATGCAGCCCAGGTCACACCACCCCAAATTTATTGCTTTATCCACTTCATGAATGAGTGTCTCCAATGCAGCTCATGAAACTATTGATGTCTCCAAGATTCTCTTGAGAATTCAAAAATTCCCCAGTCCATTTCCCACCCACCTACCCCTACAAAGCCACAGGAGTTCACCACAGAGGCCACATCCCAGCTTAGGTGAGATGGGAGCCGACCACCACTCCCTTCCCCATCGGCCACACCTTCCTACCCATTAGTGGTGGCTATAATTGGGGGTTTAGGTCTTGAAAGATTTCACTGTGGTTCCCCACATATTTTGAACTTTCAAAATCACCCACAAGGGAAGAACAAGTTGGGGACCAAGTTGTCTATAATACACATGTGATTATTAACATGGCTTGGAATGTTCCATCTTTAAATAGGAAACCTGAGACCTGGAACACTCTGAATAACAATTATGGGGATTCTTGGTGAGCTTTGGAGACCTCCTTTGCTTCCCATACTCACTATTTACATGCCATTCTACTGTACAACACTGGTCACAGATGCAGATTGCTTAACAAGGTAATTGTGCACAGATGATGTGGTCTAAGAAGGAGTTGGACTGGGTATTTGTTCTTGGCTGTATTTCAGAAGAAAGAAGAGGAACTTTCAAAAGGCTGACTTCAAAAAAAAAGGTTATAGTAGTCTACTGATAGAAGATTAGACCAATATTTTTTTAAAGTCTTCTCACAGGAAAATAATATATTCAGTGATTATTATAATGAAAAGAACAACCAAATAATGATAAATGCTGGGTAATAATAATAACGAATCTTCTCCAGAGAAGATAAAGTGAAATATATTCCCTCCTCTTAGACCAGATGTGGGAGACTCTAGATATGGAATGTTGCAATCACTGTCAGATGTAATGATTGTGTTAGTTGGTTTTGTCTCACTGTTTTTCTTTGTTCTCATTTGATGGTAAAGAGGCATATCTAGAGATAACCAATTAAAATAAAATAAAATAAAATACATCATTATGGCTTATTTTTAAGTGGTCTTCCCACCAAAAACAGTATGTTTATCTGTCTCAAATATATCCCCATTTGACCTGTCTGATGATGCTTATCTATATTTAAACAGGTCAAAAGTCAAAATGCAGCTACTGGTTGACCCCAGAATCAAATGATGTGGCATTGAAACAGATAAAGTGATATATTGTTGGAGCAATTTCTTTTTCTTAAAATAATAATTGCTACACTCTTTGTGGAAGTGTTTACAAACAGGCTACTGAAAAGACAGTAGTTCCAAGAGAGCAGATATAATTAGTTTAGTTCCTTTTTTATCCTTAGAAAGGATAATGAAAGAGATCAGAAAGTGGTGATGTTCTAGGAATTATTGGTCAAATTTGCTTGCCTGCTGCACACACAAGTGGGGGAAATATAATATTATTCCTCCTAAGGTTTGACCTCAAATAACCATGCTATATGCTTCATGGCACAAACATTTAGTTTGGGATGTACTAGTCTATTACCCATCAGGTTAAGGCATAGCTTTCCTTTCATAGGACCAAAAAGGAAAGTATGAATTGAGTGAAATGAGTGTCACTCATTTCTTAGGGAATCTTTTATAAATTGATATTTCAGTGATTTTGAGGCATATAATAATTGTCCACAAGGTAGATAGGCATCCCCTTTTTCAGTCTCATTTCTTCCTACCTGTGCATTTTGCCCCATCCTAAGGAGAGGGCCTGCTTACTTCCATATCAATAATCTCTGATGAAACAAAGGGATACTTCTTTCCTAATAATAATTATTTTCTGTGAATAATGACAAAGGTCTATTTATTCTGCCACATTAATGGACCAAAAAAAAAGTTTAAATGATAGCACTTTTTTAATGGAAAATAAAGGTAGAGTACTGAGAAGTATCTTATCAAAATGGGATTCAGACTACGTTCTGCTGCCCGAAGACCTCTAGATTTGTTCATTTCACATGTCCATCAATCAGCTGTTCCATTTTTTTTCCCTCCTGATAACTGAGTTATCAAGCTCAGAGATTTCCAGGGAGGAACTTTTCAGGGCCCAGAAAGAAAAGAATGCAGGCAGGTTTCTTCTGAAAAACAACTCTTCCCTTTGCTCCCTGAAGTGTTTTAAATGCATCCTGTCTGTCTCTAAACCTCAAATCATCAACATCAAATAATAATAATAAAATAAAGTCTTTAAATTGTCTTTTTAGACTTAAACTGACTCCCTGTGGATAGGTTCTTCCAACAGCCTACCTACTAAAAGGATTAGGGGGGATGGCAAGGAAGGGGAAAGGGGGTAGACATAGCAACTGGAAATAGAGGTGAGTAGTATCAAAAATAAGTAAGTTTAAAGAATAGCCTGACTATTTCAAAATTTTATAAATCAGGGGCAGTGGGAAGAGGAAAGGGGAGGGGGCTTTGAAAAAAAAATCCTCCTTGGTGGTGGAAATACTGCGCCTTTTTTGTGGGCTGGAGTGTGCCAGCTTTTTCAGACAGGAGGAATGCTGAGTGTCAAGGGGTCAGGCTCAATCCGGTGCGAGTTGATGAGGCAGGAAGGTGGGGAGGAATGTGCGGAATGTCCCTGTTTGTGTAGGACTCCATTCATCCCATTGGCGAGCGCCTGCTGCCTGGAGCGTATAAAAGGAGCGAGGCAGGCAGTCTGAGACTCACAAAACAACTCTGCCTAGCAGCTGAGAAGAAGCAAAGCGAGGCAACTTCAACAACAGGCTAACGCCTCCAAGAGCAAAGAGCCAGTCCAACCGCCAGACAGCTAGTCCGACAGCAGCCTCCCCAGGCAAGACAGGAAAGAAACAAAGGAAGAAGAAGGAGAAACCTATCTACCGCGACTCACCTCCTCTGCCACTCACCTTCAACGAGATCCTTGAGATCAGACTCGCACATCAGACCTGAGCATAGACAAGCCGGAGGCGCTGTCTGCTCGCTCGTTTCTCCCCATCCCGGAGCATCGCTGGTCCAGTCGCCCATTAACTTTCACTATTCTCGGAGAGCAGCTCTTGAAGATGTCCGCAGGGAGAATGGGACCCATGAGCTTCGCCTTCGTGTTCCTGCTCACCTTCTGCAACCGGGTAAGTGGAGAGACCGTTTGCCCCTTCGCACTCTTGCCGCCCCAGCAGTCCCCATCTCTAGGGCTGGAGGTGGCTGGTCTCGGGAGCATCGGTCTAGCATACCTGAGAAAACGAGAGAGCGCAGGGCTGAGCGGAGACTCTGGGAAAGCTTTGGCTCTGGGGCGTAAGGGGAGGGAACTGGGAAGTGAGGAGGCTGTGCGCGGCTTCCTCCCTGTCCCGGTCTCCTACTGACTTTCTCCTCGTTTCCCTCCTCCCCTTAGGAGATAGCCGGCCAGGACTGCAGCGGGCAGTGTCAGTGTGGAGCTGGACCGCCACCAGAGTGCCCAGCCGGCGTGAGCCTGGTGCCAGACGGCTGCGGCTGCTGTAGAGTGTGCGCCAAGCAATTGGGCGAGCTGTGCACCGACCGGGACCCCTGCGACCCTCACAAGGGCCTCTTCTGTGACTTTGGCTCTCCAGCCAACCGCAAAATTGGAGTGTGCACCGGTAAGGACTAGTTGTCGTCGGCTGCTCAATCTCTTCTGTTCCAGGGTCTGTATTGCTTCTCTTCCTGGGACTGAGAACTGGCATGTCCAAAATGTGCTTTTTTGGGCAAAAGATCCTAGATTTGCCTCAGGTATCAGAAAGAAAGTCTGAACCTTCATCTCCACCCCCTACTCTCCAGGTTTCCCTTAATTAGATATGTGGTTTTTCTTTCACAGAAGGTTAAAGGCTAGCCACTGATACAGAATTGATAACCAATTCTCTATTTCAAAAAACAAAATTAGAATGTTTCTCGAGGGTACTCAAATCTATTTTTTATTCCTTCCCTTCCTTGCAGCAAAAGACGGCGCCCCATGTGTCTTTGGAGGCATGGTGTATAGGAGTGGAGAGTCCTTTCAGAGCAGTTGCAAATACCAGTGCACGTGCCTGGATGGAGCAGTGGGCTGCGTGCCCCTCTGCAGTATGGATGTCCGCCTGCCCAGTCCAGATTGCCCCTTCCCCCGAAGGGTGAAACTTCCTGGTAAATGCTGCGAGGAGTGGGTGTGTGAGGAACCCAAGGACAAAGACCGGACTGCAGTTGGACCAGCCCTAGCCGGTGAGTTGGCTGTTTTCCAAGGCATGCATGTCAGTGATCTGACCTCTTTTGATCTCTTTCCTATGTATATAACACTCATAAAAAGAAAAAATAAATATCTAAAGACTACTTGTCCTAAACTTGGGGTGGGGAAGGGGAAGGGAAAGCTGGTACTTTATCCCCTAGAGCCTAACCTTCTGTTTGTATGCTTTCACAGCTTTCAGACTGGAAGACACTTATGGCCCTGACCCAACTATGATTCGTGCCAACTGCCTGGTCCAGACCACAGAATGGAGTGCCTGTTCAAAAACATGTGGTATGGGCATCTCTACCAGAGTCACCAACGACAATGCCTTCTGCAGACTGGAAAAGCAAAGTCGTCTGTGTATGGTCAGACCCTGTGAAGTTGCCCTGGAAGAGAATATCAAGGTAAAACTTCCTCCCCAACACACACACACACACACACACACACACACACACACACACACACCCCCATAAATTAACCTGCATTGATAAACATTAGTACTGGTCACCATTAGGGTGAGTCCTCCTACTCATTTCCCCAACCCTTCCTAAAATATCTAGGTCTAAGTGGACTAGGTTGCTAAAACCAAATGTTTAGTAATAGGTCTCAACTTTATGACCAGTATCTTTCGCTATTAAGTACTCACAGCAAGGCAACCTAAGAGAGGCAATATTGAATATGGAAAAATTGACTGGCAGAACATAAATTTCCTTTTCTTATAGCAAACATTGAAAAACCCAAAGAATAGGACATAGGACATTGTTCAAAACCACTGTCTGTACCAACCTGTTGATGGGTTTTTTTTAAATTTTTGTCTTTCTTTAGAAAGGCAAAAAGTGTATCCGAACTCCCAGAATCTCTAAGCCTGTCAAGTTTGAGCTTTCTGGATGCACCAGTGTGAAGACCTACCGGGCTAAGTTCTGTGGGGTCTGCACAGATGGTAGATGCTGCACTCCCCACAGAACCGCCACCCTCCCTGTTGAGTTCAAGTGTCCTGATGGTGAAGTCATGAAGAAGAAGATGATGTTCATCAAGACCTGTGCATGCCATTACAACTGCCCTGGAGACAATGACATCTTTGAGTCCCTGTACTACAGGAAAATGTATGGAGACATGGCGTAAAGCCGGAGACAGAGATGGAGAGAGACAGAAAGAGAGAAAAAGAGAGACTAACTAGACTGTCAACTTGAAAAGTTTGCATCTCATTTTTTTGTAAACATGATTTCAGTAGCACACGTTATTTAAACCTGTTTTATTTAAGAAAAAAAAATCCCACAAAATTCAACCCATGGCTCCATGTGGCATTCAGACAGAAATGAGCTACTGCTGGCCCCAGATATTGGTTTGGAGAAGAAAGTAAGATTTGACAGTGGGACCATATCACAGCACAACTTCAGAACTTGTACTAGGTTGGTGCTTAGGGGTCAATAGAGAGCACTCGTGGAAAGGTTTGCACTTCCAAGTGGCTGTTCCCTTAAAGTGGTAATGCTGTGTTCTACCTGGTAATGCAATTGAGAAGGAGACCTTTAGCATTCTCACTGACCTGCCCTTAGCTCCCGTGACAGCTGAGATGTGCCTTCTTGGCTGGCAGGGGGCTGTCAAACTGTTCTGTTCCACTGGAACAAGCAGTATTTCAGCTATGACATTTTGATTCAAATGACCATGCTCAAAAAGAGTCAGAATCATGTCTATTAGACTGGACAGCTTGTGGCAAGTTAATTTGCCTGTAACAAGCCAGATTTTTTTAATTAATATTGTAAATACTGTGTATATATATATTTGTACAGTTATCTAAATTAATTTAAAGTTGTTTGTGCCTTTTTTTGTTGTTAATGCTTGGATTTGTTCAATGTTAGCCTCCATTTTCTGAACACCATAGGTAGGATGCAAGGCTTGTTTGACAATGCATTCAAAGCATGAAATAGATACTCAATGGAAATTCTGCTCAGTTAGAGTGACCAGTGGTCAAGACAGATTGTTTACTAAAGGTGAGACAAAGATGTTGTTGTTGTAAAGCATGACTTGTATATTGGAAAGCAGTGGCCTCACCTTTAATGAACAGATGACCTCCGGCAAAATGAGTGGCTCTTTGATAGCTGACCATTCTTTCCACCCAAGAGCATTTGTTTCTGACTTTGACCAAGACTGTTTTTGAACAGTTTGTTATTTGTTGAGAAGTGTGACCAAAAGTTACATGTTTGCACCTTTCTAGTTGGAAATAAAGTATTATATTTTTTGTACAAATGGTTTGGTTACTCATTTATTCCTTTATAGTTTTCCCTCCAGGAAGCATCCTTCAGTGGAAGTGATTTTCCAAGGTTTAATTTAAGGTTATTTCCCAATGCTTCCTTCAGGAAGAACCTTATACTGTAGACAGTGAAAATAGATTTTATACTGCAACATGAGTCAGAAGTAGAGTTTTGACTCAAATCTAAACTATTCACTAAATTAGAATGTTTTCAAGTAACTTAATTTTATAGCCAAAAAAATTTATCAAAATGACTGAATGTACTATGAAATTGCTGTTATAAAAAAACAGTGCAGTGTAATGAAAAGAAGGCTGGATTAGAAGCCAGGAAGACCCAGGTTCAAATCCTGCTTTTGACACTTACTGTGTAATCCTAGGTAAGTCTCTTAGCCTCAGTTTCCTCATCTGTAAAATGAACCAGTTGAACTAGATGGCCTCTAAGGCTTCTTCCAGTTCTAAATGTATGATCCTATGAAAAGTACCTTTTGAGGCCATAATTAGGTTCTAATTTTAATGAGCATTAAAACATTAGAAATCAATACATTACTGTAAGTAAAAATGGATTTTAGAACAACTCATCCATGAATGCTGATTCAGAAATAGAAATCTATTTTTAGTTATGTAGGAAACTTTCACTTCAATCTATTTTGACTTGAATTAGCTAGTATTCTAGAGATCAGTGATCCCATTTTGCCATTTCATTGAGCTATGGTTCATAAGTGAGGCTAATGAGGCTAATGAGGCTAAGTGAAGATTGGACTTAAAGAGTAGATACCCCACTAAAATGTGAGTTGAACTGTTGTAACCACTAGTAGGAGAGGGCAACAGGGATTCCAGAGAAACACGTGAGAGCTCACAATGCAATATAGCTATGGAATACTAGGAAACAACAGCAGACAGACAGACTGGGCATGGGGCAGAGATGCTGTGACTCATTTTGAGAGACAAAGTCACACAGGAAAACAGACTAAGTCTGCAAATAGCGTCTGTGCCACAAACCAAAGAGGAAAGCCAACACATGTTCAAAATGTGGAAAGGTTGGTTGGTCAAAACATTGGACTTTTTAGACACACCCACACATGTGGATGGCAGCACGACTAAAGGAAGCGACCAAGTTCTAAACTCCTTAAGGACAGAAACTGCTGTTTTTGTTCTGTATGTGTCAGCTCTTAGCTCTGGGTTTGTCATTTCCTAACATAGAAGGACTGATGGCTCAAATTCGGTGCTCCACTACCTTGGTCTTGATTGCTCTTCTGAACGACTCTCATGATTCTGCCTTGTAGCTTTACTGACTACTTGCATTTTTAATGTTGTAAAACCCAAAATCGTAAGAGCAATGATAAAGTAGAGCAATGACAGATAGAGGTTCTCTCCTAAATGGAAAGTGTTATCTTTTTAAAAAAAAAATTTTTTTTTGCTGTTTATCGGATAAAAATCCATTTAAAGTAGTTGTATTATATGAGATCATAACTACAGAACTAAAAAGGACATTAGAGTCATGGAGTCCAACACTCTCATCTTACAGATAACTAATGGCCCTAGAGGTTTACAGGACTTGCCCCAAATCATCCAACAGGTAATATGGCAGAACCAGAATTTGAACTCAGGTCCCAAGTTCAGTCTCTGTTCTTGGTAACCCACCATTCCAAACTATCTGACTATGTGGATCTTTGTCACCATGCCCTGACCAGAGTATCTTCTTCCTACCCATTCAACTATTCATCTTTCCATCCCCTGAGGCAGAGGATAGAGAACTAGGTCTGGGATTGAGGAAGCGGTTCAAGGCTCACTCACTAGCCGAGTGACCCTGTTCGAGTCACTTAACCTCTGCCTGCCTCAGTTTACTCCACTGTAAAATGGGGATAATTATAGTAATAATAATAATAGTAGTAGTAGTAGTGGTAGCACTTACCTCCCTGAGCTGTTGTGAAGATCAAATGAGATAATATCTGTAAAAAGCTTAGCACAGTGCCTAGTAGTAATGTTTATTTCTTTCCTTCCTCCCTTTTCAGATCTCTTTTTCTTTCCCCATTAGTATGCAAGCTTTCTGAGGGCAGGGACTGTCTTCTGTTGTTGTTGTCCTCGTGGTTGCCCGTGATCCCTAATTCATACTTAGCACTGTGCCTAGCACACAGTACTTAATAAATGCTTGTTTCCTGTCTACTGTTTGAGGCCTTTTTGTTTTGTTTTGTTTTGCTTTTTTAATTTCAAGCAATGGAAACTAAATGAAGATATACTGGTTTTTCCTATAAATGCCCTAATAACTAAGTACATGTCTAAAGTAATCAGGGCAATGTAACTAGGATGGAGGCAGGGATGGAGAGCTTTTTATTTTTGTGGAGGCAATTGGGGGTGACTTGTCTGGGGTCATACAATTACTAAGTGTCTGAATCTGGATTTGAACTCAGGTCCTCCTGATGCCAGGGCCAGTGCTCTACCCACTGGGTCACCTAGCTGCTCCTGAGAGTTCTTAAACCTTTAGAAAGACCAGAAAAGCCTTTTATTTGGATCCAACCCAAGCTCCACACTCCAGCCTAGACCACTGCCTATCTTGCATTTATATCAATCTGACCCTTTCTCTCTGCTTTACTCATGAAAAAAGTGTACCCCAGTGGAATGATAAAACAGAAGCTAGCCTCTTTTCCAAAGCCTTCAAAACTCTTCTCCTTTCCTGTCCTGGTCACAGGAGCCTGCCATACATAAAGGGCTCAATGAAAAGTGCCTAAGATATAAGAGTATGGCACTGACACTTCTTTGTAAAGTACAGATATTTCTTTTTCACATCTAACTGCACTGGTTTAGAATCAAGTGCTCTTGTAGCCAAATATTCTAGTTTCCCCTTTTGCCCTATATGCTAGTCATGGGTTACTAACTTTCAAAGAATTTTACTAGGATATAAAATATGCCTGAGAGGCCATGTGATATTAATAGATAGAGAGTTGACCTCAGAACAAGGAAGATCCAGGTTCAAGGTCCACTCATAACATTTACTGGCTGTGTGATCATCAGCTAGTCAGTCAGCCTCTTGGTGCTGTTCTGAGATTCAAAGTTATCAAGAAGGTGCCACCCATTCAATGATAAGAGTTTTGTCATTTATGGAGTTTCATATGTAAAAGAAATCATGTATGTTTCATTGTAAAAAGAAATCTAAATTATATATAGCATGCATAATTTCATCTTGATGTGAAGAAGAGTCTTCTTTATACACACGTTTATCAAGCAATATTACATTCACATAGGATATCGGGCTAAAGTGGACTATATTCTTCTTGAGAGCAAGAGCTATTTTTTATTTGTTTTGCCTTTCTTTGTTTCCCCAGAGCTTAATATAGTGCCTAATATATTGTAGGCACTTGATAAATGCTTATTTCCTGACTGACTGACTACTGACATACCCAAGAAGTTATCTGCTTAACAAATTCCTTGATATAGAGTAACATTAGCTTGTTAACTTATCATTTGTCTCTTTCTTATAAAAATAGATCACGGAGTACTCAGAAAAATTCTGGTTATTTTAACTTTCTGTTTGCTTGGGTGTTAGGCAAACATTAGAGTTTATCCTATATAGACAGATGACATAGGCCTTAGGCCTCTCACTTTATCAGGAGGATGCCTAGAAACAAGCACAACCCACAGGGAATTTTAGTACTGGACCTTCCTCCTCCCTTGTTCCTTTCCCTAAATAAAACTGGAGAGTTTCCCTTCATGAATTTACAGTAACTTCTCTTCTGCCCTTGACTCAAAAAACCAATTGAATTGTTGATTTAAAAAAAAAATCTATATAATATAAACAAAAGAAAATAAATTTGTGAAAATAACAATCTAGGGACCAATTTGAATCCCAGAATTGAAACCAATGGGCATGAAGAAATTTAATCTCTGCATTAGAAGTATAAATTAAGAGGTTTCAAATGATTAATCCACTGTGGTTTCTTCTTTCCTTCCATAACTAAAATTTCATCTCCAGATCATACAAAATGTTTATATAAATATATGTTTTATAAAAATATAT